TTCTTCCCACCTGCTCACAGTCATCTGATCTACACTAGCTGAAGGGGTAGAACTGTGTGAGGATTCTCTCTGTCTAGCAGAACCAAGTGGAACCACAAAAAGATTTTAATTATTATTTGAAAAGTTCACTTACTTTATAAATTTTGCAACTGTTAGCACTTTCAAAATTAGTACACAAGAAAGCTTAGAGTAGCCTCATCACCTATATGGGGGAGGACAAAGAACAGAACAAAACTACAAGGTACAGTATACTGTACCATGAAAGAATAATTTACATTTGAAATTCGTTTTTCATGCTCATGCATGTAAAAGATTTATTGGAAACCTAGCATGAGTTAGGCATTGCACCAAAAGCTAGGAAGAGACCTAGAACAAGTCTGAATCCATCCTCTACCAGTTTCTAGTCCATGACAGCCTCTCCTATGAGACCCGGAAAATGTCATAGAAATTCTACCTAGGTTTTAAATGTTTATTTTATTTCTGGGATGGAATTCAGTGCCTTCACATTAAGCTAGCTGCATTCTCAGTTTTGTTTGGTTGATTGTTTTGTTGTTGAGTTTTTCGTGGTCGTTTCTTTTTTGAGACTGGATTCTCTATGTCTCCAACTTAGTATCACATTTCTCATTCCTTTTTCTAAGAATACAAATTATTTGGTTAGAAAGGTTGATGTGATGAAAGAATTTCAGTTTTTATAAACAGGAAAAGTTGTGAGACCTGCCCCGTTGCTTTAAAGATCAAAATTCCATAGGTACTATTATCAGGAGTCCCCAGACCACCCCCGGGTCCAATCATTAGAATGGCTCCCTTGGCTCAGTATATAGTTATAAGGTATGATCAAAATATAAGATGAATGTTTAAAATTTTTTAAATTACCACAAAAGACATACTGTATTAATCCCCCTCAAATCCCTCCTCCTCACATCAAACACACTTATCTCATAATGCTTGCAGCTTTCTGAAGCAATTCTAGAAGTCCTCTTTTGTAAGTGTCTTCATAAGATATGGTCATAAATACAATGAATGCTGCTGCTGAGCACCATCCAACTGAGGTAAGCTCATAAAAATATTATGGTGTGTGTGTATCTCATCTACCTCATTCACTGGATCTGGCACGGTGCAACTTCTGGCTCTTCCCCAAAGTCAAAATGACAGTGAAAGTTAAATCTTCTCAATTTATTTAAGACATCAAAGCAGTCATGACAGTGCAACTAAAGACACTCACAAAAATAGAACTGCTTCGGGAAAATGGCAAAAATGGTAAGATAAGTGGAAGGGGGAATATTTTGAAGACTAATGGCAATATGCCTTTTACTGTAATAAATGTTTAAAATTTAAACATTTCTGGTATTTTTATGTCATACTTTGTATATTCATGGCTGTGAATCTATTGAGACAAAGGTATACAAAGCAAAATCAGCAAAGAAAAAAAATACATTGGACAAAGCCCACAGAAAAGCAGACCCAAAAAACTCCACTTTACATGAATTCCTCCCAGGAAAAAGTTTTGACAACACAGGTATAATGATTTTACCCATGAAGCCTGTTAGAGACTCAATGCCCAGCATGTTTAATAGGGGCTTTCCATGATAAAAGGATTAAAACAACAAGAACATACTCTAACTACACAAATGTATTCCTAAATCCTAGGCTCCCATTATGCCAGATCCAAACAGCGTTATGGACACAATTCTTCAAATTTTTAAGAGCATTCCAATGTTATTTACATTGTTCTTGAGCATATGCAAAGAAGTTTTCTACTTCATCTCATGACGTCAATGTTTTTGAAGATAGGGTCTCATATTGTCCAGGATGGCCTTGAATTCACTATGTATCTAGGGTTGGCCTCAAACTCCCAGCAATCCTCTGGCCTCAGACACCCCAGGGCTGAGATTACAGGCGTGGGCCACCCTGAAGTCAATATAACTTTGACATGAGGATGTTACCATACTCATACACTCAAAAACTAATATTAATTTAAAAATCCCATATAAAATATTAGGAAATAGAACTAAGTAGGATTCATAAAGATGAATTTCAAGGACAAATGAGAGGCTATGAGTATAGCTCAGTGGTAGAGTGCTTCATAGCATGACTGAGGCCCTGTGTCCAATATCCATAACAGGAAGAAGAAGAAAAAAAAGACAAATACAGATGAATATTAGGAAAAATAATTAACTCCTTGAATTAAAAGGTTGAAGGGGGCCAGAGATGTAGCTCAGTGGTGCAACACCTGCCTGGCAAGTGTGAGGCCCTGAATTTGATCCCTGATATGAAAAAAAAAAAAAAAAAAGATCAATGGAGAAAAGCATTCACATAATTAGCTGAATAAAGCCAAAATAACTTTTTAAACATTCGTAAGTTTATAAAAATAGTTTTGACTTTCTTAGTTTGATAGACTCATGTACAAAGCCTAAAAAAATGTACGCATCAGGTTAATAAAACACAAGAAACATTCTGAGATAAAGTTGAGAAATAAGACATGTCTATTCATCACTATTATTAACATTTTTCAGGAACAAAATATATTGCAATTAAGGAAACCAAATTAAATATAAAGAAACAGAGGTAAAATAATTATTTACAGAGGCCAACTGCCCACATGAAAAAGCCTTAGGAATTAAGCAAAAATGAGCTGGGGATTTAGCTCAGTGGTGCTGCTGCCTGCCTTGCAAGCACAAGATTCTGAGTTTGATCCCTGGTACAAAAAAATTAGAGAATATAAGAAAGGTTCAATAAAGGAACCGTGTAAAATAATTATATGAAAATATACAGTATTCCTGCATGCCAAAACAATCAATGAGAAAATATGAGAAAGAAGATTTGCAATTTTAATTCCAAAATACATGCAACACATAGGAATAAATTCATAGAACAGGTGCCTGTGATTTAGCTCAATGGCACTGCACTTGCCTTGCAAGTGCAAAGCCCTGTTTGATCCCTGGTATCAAAAAAAAAATCACAGATCAGGTAATGGAAATTACAAAATCCTACTGAAGGATGTTGAAAAAAGAAATGAAGAGACATACATTATTAAAGGATAAAAAGATCCAATAGCATCAAGAGATCAATCATCTCTAAATCACCATATGAAAAAAAGCATACTTGAAATTTTACTGTATTATATTGTAAACAAGAAAAAGTTACATGCTAGAAACTTCAGAAAGCAAAATTTAACCCTTTTTTGACAGGGATACATAGTTACAGGCACACATATTAGAAAATTAAGAATAAGAATTTTATATTTATCCCAAAGTTTCTGGTCTATCGTTTTGTGATTTTTTTGCAATGCTAGGTATTGAACCCAGAGCCTCAAACAGAGCTAAGCAAATGCTGTACCACTGAGCAACATCCTTCGCCCTTATCAAAAAGGGTTTTTTAAAAACATTGAGAAACAGTTCTAATTAATCCAGGAATTAAAAATAATCCTGATCAGAATCACAAGACTCTTTAAAGTAAACTGAGGTAAGAGAATTCAAATGGAATAACATATATATAATCTGGAATACATTCTGAAAAAGAAAAGCAATCAAATGGGGTCAGCTTACCAGATAAAAAAGCAAATCATAAATCAAAGCATTTAAACTGTCACATAAGAGACAACTCATTAGAACTTATTAACCTAGAAATAAAATGCACAAGTGTAGGAATCCAGCATTTATGTTTTTCAATGAGAGGAAAATATGGATTTAAAAAACTGTTCACTTGGGCCGGGGATTTAGCTCAGAGGTTCGGTAGCCTGCCTTGCAAGCACAAGGACCGGAGTCCAATCCCCGGTACCAAAAATAAAAAAAACAAAAAAACTGTTCACTAGCCATCTTGAAAAAATAAACTCAATAATTATATAAAAGTACAAAATTAAATACACATGAGGCTGAGGATTTAGCTCAGTGGCAGGGTCCTGAGTCTGATCCCCAGTACTGTAAAACAAAAAAAAAATTTTTTTAAATTAAATACACATGGATGTCAGTTCCAGCACTTCCCATAACAGAAAAACTAGAAAAAAGTCTAATAGCCACTGAAAGAAAACTGGTCAACCAAATAATGGTATATACAATGAAATATTATAAATGATTAAAAAGAATAAAGTTAGATCCTAATGATATTTTAAAATGTTAAATATATGTACTTGCACACAAAACACATGCTAGAAAATAGCCCTGTTGTAAAATCTTGATTTAAACAAAATTTTAAAATAAAATATAAACACTGAAAAAGCAGGAATATAATTAAATTGTTAACAACTGTTGATCCAATAGGTTGAGACTATGGAAAAATTTTATATAGTATGCTACTTAGTTCTTTCCTGTTTAATATTTTATAGTAATCATGTTTTATTTGTAATAAAACTATAAACAAATATCTCAAGTCTGGCTGTTAAAACTTCAAAATAAATCAATATGTAGGAGATCAAGTGTTTTAATTTTCTACAACTAGTGAGTAGTACCTAATTTAGTGACTAAGACAGATATGGCAAATTGAGGGACTGTGATTACCTCATGCATTCATAAGTGGAGCTTTTTGAGAGGTGGCTGGATCTACAATGTGTAATGCTGATTCATTCTTGCTGCATATTAGAATCAAGGGCACTAGGATTAAAAATGTGAGTGCTATTTGCCCCAAATAGCCTGGATAAGATATAAGGGATAGAAAGAGCTCTAGTGGCCCCCTGCTTGCTTTGCTACCTTCTGCCCACCATGAACTGTTTCTGCTCTGCACATTTCTCTGCCACACCACTCTGGCTTGGAGCCAGCCAACTAAAACCTCTATAAACTGTGAGCTAAATAAACCTTTCTCCTTTAACTTTGAGTGTCAGGTATTTTGTCTCAGCAACAAGAAAAGTACATAAGACTGGGACCATATATTAACTCTATAGATATAAATTAACAACTTGAAGGCAAGGACAAAAAAGTACACTACATAAGACAGGCAAAAAAACAAATTTCATTACACTAAGACAGGTGGATCAGATATTTGAGCAACACAACCTTTCAGGACACTACCTGATAAATCCAAACTTAGGATCTTCACCGAAGAGATTTTCAGAATGACTTTTCCAGACTCAAGGCAGATATTCTCAGAGGAAAAATGTTCTGAAATTCCAGGAAATGGTACCTTTCACAGTACCAAATACATTATTAGTTGAAAAAAGTTAGACTTTATATGGATTTACATACCATAAATAGTAGAGAAACTACACTGCTTTTCTTAGTTAACTTTCACTGATACATCAAAAAACCAAAACAATGACTAAAAGCAGCAGTACTAAAAGCAGAGAGGATTACTGCCTATTTACTACGGAATAAGAAACCCATACCCACTTGTTCTAACCAAAATAATAAACAATGTCCATCAATAGTGAACACCATACGAAGCTCCTAATGTTATAATGTTACAACTACCTCCCACAGAGGGAAAAAAAAAAGTTAACCTAAGAATTAGTTTCTTGATTTAAAACAAACTTTCAGCAGATTACAAACTTTACCTTAACAAGGGCTATGTTCTTTAGAATTAGTTTATTCTTTAGGGTTTGATCAGGAAATATTGGATGAACAAAATTTCCACAGGGTGGAGCTGCCAATGAGTCCTTAAACTTGTCTGGATCTCCCCTGGGAAGCCCTATCTACCCTGCATATTTCCTGACTGAAAGGCCTTTATGGGAAAAAAAGACCTTCTGCTCTTTAATCGCAATATATAAATGATGTTTCTCTTGAAGAAAGAGATGTGGCATTTACAAGCATATGGTTTAGCAATTTTTTTCTGCTCTTGGTACCCATGTGGTGTGTAATTTGAAGTAGCATTCCTTAAACTTTAAATTAGTATTGCTTGGGCAGATAAATGATGTCCTGTCGGCATTTTAAATACTCTTGGAAAAAAGTCACATTCCACTTTTTCACAGGAAAGATACTTCAGTTCTTTTGATATATATTCTAAAAGGTTATCCAAAAATCTGAATAAAAAGGTGAAGACTTACCACACTGTGTAATTTTAACTTTAATTCTGATATTCTGTAAGCCTTACCAAAAAAAAAAAAGAGTACTCTCACATAGGCACTAAACACTACTGTGAGGGACACAACTAAGGTTCATATGAAAGGATTCCTGACATGGCTTTTTCTCTGGAAAAGACTGAATATCGTGTCCAGGCCAGCTTCAGACTTCTCATTCTATTATTTTGTTTATAAATAAAAATGTTTGTAGATACAACCAGCTTTAACATTAAAGGACTGTTGTCATAACAAAAATAACTGACATGAGTATTTTTATCATGAGTGCACGTAACTCCATTTATCAATTACCACATCAATTCTTCATTTGGCCAAGGAACAAACTAGTTTCTGAATCTGTAATACATTCTATGACAGACAGGCAAGTCAGGTAGAAGAGAGCAGGCAGCTAGAAAGACACTGGGCCCAAGATAAAGTCAGGATGATCAGGCCTTCATCAGATAAGCAGCTTAAGAGCAAAAGTTAACAAGAACCAGATAGACAATTAAGTCCAGGGAAGTAGTAAGCAAGGTAACGAGTACGGTAACGGATGACCACTATGACAAATTCTGCTCCTCTCTATCTGGAAAATGTTTTTCCTTCTCACTTTGTTCTTTTAATGAACCACTTAGATAGGACAGAGGCCAAGAGGTTCCTGTGGACATGGGCTTTCTACATTCTTCCATTCCACACAGGCCCATTTTCCTGTAAGTTGATCTTAATTTGACTCAGGGTGATCTGATCCCTGGTAAAGGAGACCCCAGGGCAACTCACTTTTGGGCCCCCTTCCAACTATTGGGAGCTTTTTCTCTTTAATAAAGGCTCCTCCCCTCTACCTCCTTTGTCCTCAGTTTCATTCTTCAACTTAGTAAGATACAGATACACAGATTACACCATTACCATTTGACAACAGATTTACTGGGCTATCCTTACAATACAGGCCCAATGCTAGATCACAGAAAGCACAAAGATTAACAAGGCCTCTACCTTAGAAAAACTGTCTACTGAAAAAGGTAGGATGAGATGATAAATAATGTCAGCTATAGAACTAGTCAGCCATGATTTTATGGTTTTTAGAAAATCTAATATGTCCATAAGTACCACACTAAAACTACAAGGATGCTAAACAGAGTAATACATGAACAGTAACTCTAAAAATCATCAGTTATTATTTATCCCTTTATCAGAGTAAAACAATACTGTAATTGGCTACTAGCCCTCCAAATCAGGATGCTTAGTTCCCAGAGAGAGCACAATACAAAAGACAGGATTTAGGAAGAAAACACTAACATTTTTATTGATATTTATTTTTAACCTAGAAAAACTACAAAACATTACACTTCACTGCCTTTGTCTCCTGATGCATGCCAAAAACAGTTTCTCGTCTCATAAGATAAATAGATATTGTAACAGTGAGAAATCCACAAATAGGCAGGGCTGAATGTAATGCCCTTATTTGTTCATGGGAAGTATTAAGTTTAGATGTTCCTGCTTAAGTGAATTTTCCAAATGTTAGTTTTAATTAAGCTATTGCTCACAAAATGACAAGTGGATTTAAAAGGCTCCTACAAGGAAACCACTGATTGAATTTAACATTACCAGAACAGGCAAATAGGAAAACAGCCAAAATGACAACTCTACTCCTAGAATTCAGATTTTATGAGGTGGTGACCCTAAAATTTGAAATAATCAAGATGATCTGAAAGAAACTGTAATTAACAAAGGGTAGGGGCTGGGGATTTAGCTCAGTGGTACATCCCCTGTCTTGCAAGCCCAAGGTCCTAAATTCGATCCCCGGTACTACACACACACACACAAATTAAATTGTTCAAGTATTTGTTTTAACCCCAAAACAAGCTTGAAATAAAAATGACAATTTAACAGCAAATTAATCATCTTGTTGTAGGAACCAGAAAGTCCTCAAAAAAAAATGACTGAGGGGCCAGGGATTAGCTCAGTGGTTCCACTGCCTGCCTCGAAAGTGCAAGGTCCCAAATTCAATCCTTGGTACAAAAAAAGTAAGACTGAAATGACTGTGGGTGGTGGTATTCATCTGCAGTAGAGCAAAATAAGCAAAGGTGTTGAGTTCAATCCCCAATACCAAAGGTAAAAAACGTGGCTACTAGCTGGGCCCACAGGCATGCATCTGTACTTACTCCCAGCTATTCAGGAGACTAAAGCAGGTGGATCACTTGAGCCCAAGAGCTGTTTTCCAGCCTGGAAAACATAGTGTGACCCCCATCTCAAAACATTAATATAAGATTTAAAAATAAAATCACGAATGGCTACTACTAATTGAAAACTTACTATAAGCCAGGCACTGCCTTAAGCACTTTTTACATATCTTATTTAATACTCAGAGAATGTCACTAGGTAGGTACTGTACTTTTTTAACTTCCTGTTTTACAGGTAAGAAATTGATATACAGACAAGAATTGAATAATTTAACCAAGGACACAGCTAGTAAATAGTTCATTCAGACCAAAGTCTGGGCCTGGGATTTAGCTCAGTGGTTCCATGCCTGCCTTACAAGTATAAGGACCCAAGTTCAATCCTCGGGTACAAAAAAAAAAAAAAAAAAAAAAAAAAAAAAAAAAAAAAAACCAAAGTCTGACAATGTCCTGAATTTATAAGAGCTAGGCTATAGTCAGGCCAGGATTTGGCTCAGTAGTTCTGCTTCCTGCCTCGCAAACACAACGGCCTGAGTTCGATCCCCAGTAAAAAAAAAAAAAAAAGAGCTGTGCCATAGTAACATGAAAGAAAACACAAATTATTCTGACTTTCAGACCCACCAATTAGCTCCTCAGACCACCAGTTCTGAAATGTTAACATATCCTATTCAGATCCGGTAAAATATTCCACAGTTGGTAAGAACAATATACCATTTTTCCAGCTATCACTTACGTGTACATTTGTTTCACACATATGAGTAAAACAATTCATATCTGAACTGTAGGGTAAAGTTTATTTAGTAAAAATTACAGAATATTATTGATACACATATACATCGATGTACTACAGGGTTTACTGAACAACCTATAACAAGTTTAAATAAGACTAGTAATTTTTAGTTTATAAAACAACTGGAAAGTTCAACATATACTGATATATATGTCTTTTCAAAAACGTAAGCAAAACAATTTTAACTTATGTTCTGCACGAGACAGGAGTTTTGCAATGTTGCTACATGGTAAATTGAGGCCAGACTTAGAACAATAATCAGAATCATTTATAAACTCTTACATTATGCTAATGTAGCTTTATGAATGCCACATTTTGCATACTCTTAATGCTTCACTTGATTGGTTATTAAGCTGCCAAAGGATATGTATAAATGAAAGACTGTGAGATTGCCCGTTATTTGCCAATATTTTTTTTTAATCAGAGCTCATCAGTGACCTTAGGTCATCTGCTAAAAAATGTTCTCCTTGACTAGGCAGTGCTCCAGGCTCACTTTAGCAATGATAACTAAGAGAATGACTAAGAGAAGCTACTGCTTCATTATTCAATTACAAAATACCTGAGTCTCTTAAGGCCAAAAGAGAAAGGGCCTAATTTATAATTTGCAGTATTAGTTTTATTTTATATTAAATTCAAGCCTTCAGTCTTTCCGGGTCCGGCTTCTAATTAAAACAACTCTTCCCTACAAAGGAACACATTCAAATAGGATATCCTTGAGCAAAATATCAAATGGCCCAAAGGAGCTTAATTGAGACAGAACAATGAGGCTCAGCCCTTCTTTCCCTTTGACATTCATCACATACCTCCCCCCAATACAACACTGACCCAGGTGACCTGGGAGGGTACTGACTGGTTCTGGTGTCTTCCAGCCATCTCTGCAGTTGCCTTGGCTACCACCCTCTCAGCTGCCAATGACGCCAGCATTCCTGACAGGAATGTGGCTGGGCTGAAAGCCACACAGTTCCTTAGCTGCTACCACTACTGTAACTCCCTGAAGAGCAGCCAGAAAACCACACCTGACAGGGCAGAGATAGTGGTCATATTGGGGGCTGCTGTTATCCCCAAAATCCCCAAGCCCCATTGAGCTAAGATCAACACTGCTGCTACCCCTAGAAAAACTCAAAGCAGCAGCAGTCACGTTGGCCCCCACAGCTCCCATGGAGACAGC